TCACAGGCCTCAGTCCCCCGGGCCGCCCGGAGACTTCCGGAGGCCGACCGGAACCGGAAGCGTCTAGGGTAGGAGGGGCGGGGCCTAAAAATCAAAAAAAGCGCGGCCTCAGCTGAAGGCTGCGGGGCTGCTGGTTGTAGCCGCTGACAGCACGGCGCCTCGGGATGGACTCCACCGCCTGCTTGAAGTCCTTGCTCCTGAGCATCAGCCAGTACAAGGCCGTGAAGTCGGAGGCCAACGCCACTCAGCTCCTGAGGCACTTGGAGGTAAGGGTTTTCCTGAGACAGTCCGGGCTCCCTTCGGGATTTCTGTGTGCCTGTCGCTGCTCGCACGGCCCGGCCCGGCCCGGCCTGGCCCGGGACCTCCCTGCAGCCCCTTGGCTGTCCTTGCACTGGTGACAAGTTCCGGTGGTCCAAGAGGGGGACTGCCCGGGTCCCGACGATCTCCGAGACGGAGAGGGGAGGGGATGCTATGAGATAAACCGGTTTGGACTCTGTTTCTGGCTGGAATGCTGAGGCTGCATTTTCTTTCCCACAGCTTTGAGTGTGAGTGTGTGTGGTGATTTGGTCTTTCTTTTAGGTGCCTATCTTCTAAGTGCATTTTGTCTTCTTTGTCGAATATCGAGTGGCTTCTTTCACCCAGGATATATAACCAGGGAAATTCATTCAGGTTGCACGTACGTTATGTGTAATTCCATTTATCTAAGTGCACCGCAGGCTATGTATATTTACCTCTTAATAGACATCTGGGTTTTACCCAGGTCTGGATAGGATTATGAACAAGTGCATTCCAATCATACATTTTTTTAATGCATTTGTTTCTTATACACCTACTGATAGTATCAGGTTACAAGAAAGGCCTGTGTTTCCCTTTTTGTTATTTTAATTTCTTTAAGTTTAATTGTGTGTGTGTGTGTGTGTGTGTGTGTGTGTGTGTGTGTGATACCTGTGCACATGAGTGCAAGACCCTCAGAAGGCAGAAGAGGGCATTATATCACCTGGAGCTTGATGTGGGCGCTGGGACTCAAACTGGGGTCCTCTGCAAAAAATAGTACATTCTTCTATCTACTGAGCCATCCAGTCCACATCCACTTTTATTTTGTATTGCTAAAAACAGTTTTCAAAAGATTATAGCACTAGTAATATATCAACACTGCCATCAGTCATTCAACCATCCCATCCTTAGTTCTTAGTATTTACCTTTTTGAGGGCAATATTATCTTTTTAATGGTCGATATCATACAGAGCTCTGAAAGTTGATCCTGAGGGTACACAAGTATATGTGAAAAGAAAATAGTTTTTTTTTCTTTCATTTTTCTAAACTTCTGCTGCCATAGATTGACTTTATAACACCACACAAAACCTGTGCTTTGAGTCATTTCATGATTGTCAGGGCCAAGTTAAGCTATTCTAGTAGCTGATGGTGGTATTTCACATCACCGACCATGTTATTCAAAGTATGGATTCAGCTCTTTGGAGTATGAATCCTAGTTGTGCTTCTTTATCAACAGTGTATCCCTCAGTTTACTCAAATACAAATCTATTTTATAGAGTTGTGAAGATCAAAGAATTAGCATATGTAAAGCACTTAGGTCAATGCCAAGGCCAGACTAAGTACTATGTAAGCATTACCATTAAAATAAACTAGTTTTAATATAAAATATTAATTTTTACCTTGTATTAACTAATTGCTATATGTTAGAATATTATTGAGATAAAAGTCCAGTTCCAATCATGTTTAAAACAGAAAATGTCTTCATCTTCTAGATGGCTAAAATTAACAGATAAGAGAGACCATGTTCAGAATGATCTTGTCCCCAAGATAAGTTACCAATCTGTTTCCAGTCTTACAGACATTAATTAATGTTAAAACACATTCTACTAGGGAATAGGTAATGAGAAATTTCAAGAGCAAAGCCTGGTAAGAAAGTGAGAAAATAGAAGGAAGATACAGAAAGGAATTTTAGACTAATGATTAGTGACCTTTTAGAATATATATATATATATGTCTAATTCTAAAGTAACAAAATGTTTGACTTTAAATACTAGGGTTATATTGAATCTCCCTCACAAAAACAACTGGAATGAAAAGTAAAAAGTATTAAATCTTTATTGTTTCTGCATAATCTCCTAACTTGTAGGCTCAGCCCGAAAGCAGTCATCCATTGGGCTTCATATTCCATCCTCAGAGTAGTTGGAATGAGTATACTAGGCTTCAGAATAATAAATCTACTTGGTTCTTGTCTTAGGGTTTCTATTTCTGTGAAGAGACATCATGACCATGTCAAGTCTTACAAAGGAAACCATTTAATTAGGATGGCTCAGTCAGAGGTTCAGTCCATTATGGTCATGGTGGGAAGCAAGCCAGCAGAAGGAGCTAAGAATTCTTACAACTTGATTGCAGGCAACAGGAAGTGGTCTGAGATACTGGGCCTGACTTGAGCATATATGAGTCTTCAAAACTTGCCTCCACAATGATCCACTTCCTCCAACAAAGCCGTACCTACTCCAAAAAAGCCACAGCTCCTAATAATGCCACTCTCTATGAGCTTATGGGGGCCAATTACATTCAAAATACCAAAGTTCTGCTGTATATTTTTAATCTGTGTTCAGTATAGTACAGTACAGTATAGATAATATATAAATGTTAGTTCACTAATATGTGAAAGAAGTAAGAGTATGCTATAGGCTGTGTAATAAGTAAAACTTAGATGATCTGACTGGCTTAGGAAAATGTTTCTGGAGAAAGTTAACTTAAACTGAAATCCAGATGATTCAGCTAGAGAAGGAGAGAGTCTGTATGTGTGCAGAGAAAACAACAGGTGTGAATTTTCTAAATTGGGGAAGTAGCACTTCAGAAAAAAATGGTTTATTTGAAATGGAGACAAAATAGAAATTGCCAGCACTTAACACATTTGCTTCCTATTTTATAGGTTGTTTCTGGACAAAAGCTGACACGACTTTTTACATCACATCAAATATTGCCAAGTGAATGTTTAAGTTGCCTTGTAGAACTTCTAGAAGATCCAAACATAAGTGCTTCACTGATCCTAAGTATTATCAGTTTGCTGTCTCAACTGGGTAATGTGTTCATACTTTCTCTTTTGGAACTTGGAAGACTATGGACTTAATTTTTTTTAAAGATTTTATTTTATGTACATGAGTACTCATCTGCATGTCTACCTGCATGACAAAAGAGGGCATCAGATCCTGATACAGATGGTTGTGGGCAACCATGTGTTTGTTTGCTGGGAATTGAATTCTGGATCTCTGGAATAGCAGCCTGTGCTCTTAACTACTGAGCCATCTCTCCAGCCCTGAACTTAATATTTTTAAAGGACAGATAGAGTTATAGAATTTCTTCAAGAATGATTTGCTTTCAAAAAATGTCTTCATTTAAGAACCTCTTAAGAGTTAGTCTTATGGTTCTCTCAAAAGAGTTCCTGAACATATCCATATATACAGAGTAGAGTAGTCTCTTGCCGTATAGGTGTGTTAAATATCTGAAGTCTTGGGAGCTGAATCTAATTCTGATTAAACATAATTTAAATAATTACACATTGACTAGTAGCTGTCATATTAGATAACACAGTTAAGAGTAAAATGACATGAGTTGCTACTCATTATTCCAATCTTTATCATTTCTACCTATAGGGATACAATCTTAGTTAATGGTTTGATATGTGTTTTCTAATTTAAATTATATATTTTTAAAGAAGTTAAAATGATAATCTGACTGTATATTATGTAACCTGGATTGAGATGGAACTCAAAATTTTCTTGCCTCATCCTCCTAAATAAGGATTACAGGGATATACCCCCAACCTCAGCTGTTAGGGGTTTTCTTTTTCTTTGATATTAATTATATGTCAAAGAATTAGTGTACTTTGAAATTGGTGGTCATAAATTTAAAAAAGGAAAACAAAATCTGTCTTGGCCAGCCATGGTGGCTTAATTCTATAATCTCAGCATTTCTAAGGCTGAGACAGGAGAAACTGCTATGAGTCCCAGGCCAGTCTGGGTTACAGAGTGAAATCCTGATTCAAAAACTCAACTCAACAGTTATCTCAGGTTTTATCCTTTTTAAGGACAAGATTATATGACATAAAATTATTTCACTATTATGGAATGATTTCTGCATGTATAAGTGATATATCTTATGCCATTTTATTTTAACTTGTAGCTGTAGATACTGAAACCAGAGACTGTCTTCAGAGTATATACAATCTGAATAGTGTGCTGGCAGGAGTGGTTTGTCGAAGCAGCACTTGCCACAGTGACTCTGTGTTTTTACAGGTATATAGATCATCATAATATATTGCCACCTGTTCTCCTTTCTTTATTCTCAGACAAGACGTAGTAAGATGTAGCAGGCTTTCTTGGACCACCAGCCCCCAAATTGTGACATGGAGACTTATTATTAATTATCAGTGCTCGGCCTTAGCTTTAGGCTTATTTCTAGCTGTTTTTTTTTTTTTTTTTTCCTTAAATTAACTCATTTCTATTATCTGTGTGTTGCCCTGAGGCTTCTTTACCTCATCCTCCTTTCCTGCTTCCTCCATGTCTGTCTGTCTGGCCCCTAAGCTGGCTACCTGGTAGGCTGCCACCTTGGCTGACTGGCTCCCCTTTCTCTCTGCCCATCAGCTCCACCTACACCTCCTCCACATAGCTGTTGGCCATTCACCTTTTTATTAGACCTATCAGGTTTCTTAGGCAGAAAAAGTAAAGATCAACACATCTTTACATACTTAAACAAATGCAGCATAAACAAAAGCAACACAACTTTACATAGTTAAACAGTTATTCTGAAACACAAATGCAACACATTTTTTACATAATTAAACAAATATTCTATTCCACAATAGTAAGACCTTTTATTTACTGCTAAGTAACAATTTATATGATGGCATGACATCGTCAGGCATAGTTCCTATTAGGAGCTAGTAACACATGCAGACTACATAAGTATTTCTCAAAAAGAGGACAGAGAGGACCAGATCTGTATTATCACTTTAACTTACAACACTGTAACTGAAGAATGCAGATATGTGCTTTTTGAAATGTGAACTATTCATATTAAAATTATAATTTGGGTTGGTATATAGTCTCAGCCTGCTGAAGAAACATCTTACAAAATTTAAAGCTATGGTTTAAATTTGTTTAGCACAGTTTGAAAACTCCTGCACCCATCATTTTATTGAATCTAATATGTAATCAGCTGCAAGAAAGAAAAACATGACCAAATAAACTGGCATGCACTTCAGAGATAAAATGTAGAGGGAAGAAAATATCCTCAATTTAATTCAACCCCCACTAAAGTTTAATGTAAGAGAACAAAGCAGATGACTGGGCAGATTTGGTTACTACAGCTGCATCAAGTGTATTTATCTCATAGGTTTGGTGGTTCAAGGACATACTATCTATATGAACTGAGATCTGGCAAAGGATCTTCTGGCTATAATCATGGCAAATAGGAAGGGAGGGACATAATCATATCTTAGGTTCAACAGGAGAGATACTGCAACCAGGCTTGTTCCTTTTGTAACTCCCCTCTCAAGAAGTACCTACAGGATCACATGGGAAATACATCATACCTCCAGTGACCTAAGGACTTCCATTCAGGCCCTAACTTCTGGAGGTTCTGCCACCTCCCATCCACCTCCCTTAGTTTCTCCCATTCCCATCCTGAGAAACTAAGGCTTAAGTCATAGCACCCACCCTGACTGGACACAATTAGGTGCCATTAAAACCATAACAATGACAACCCGTGAGATAAAATATGTAAAAATGGATAAATTAAGACATGACTCCCAAGGTTTTTAGTAGTAGTCATTACTTAGGATATATATTTTAAAATAAACTTAAGAAATGGCATAGCTCTTGCTCTGGTGTTTGGTTCCTGAAATGATGTGTTCAAAATACTTGGCAATAGTCCATTTTTATGAGTAGGCAATATGTTTTCATGTGTATACTCACAATTATTTTCTTATTCTCAGTGCATTCAACTCCTGCAGAGGTTAACATATAATGTCAAATTTTTCCATTCTGGTGCCCATATAGATGACTTAATTACATTCCTAATTGGTCATATGTAAGTATGCAACAAAACAAGTAATTAGACAATTTACTGATTTATTTTTAAACTAAGCTGGTAGATCATTTCTTTTCCGTAATGTTTTCTAGCTTGAAAAACAACGGATTTATTTATTTATTTTTATGTGTATGTGTTGTGCCTGAATACATATTTGTGGTATACCATGTATGTGTAGGTGTCCATGGAGGACAAAAGAGGACTTTAGATTTTCTGGAGCTGTAGTAACGGAGTTATATGCTGTCCACTATAGGTGCTGAGAACTGAGCCCCAGTCCTCTAAAAAAAGCCAGGAAGTGCCATTAAATCAGAGTCATCTTACCAGCTTTCTAGGTTTTTAAACTAAGATTACTGTCAGTTTCCTCCAGTTGGGTGATTTTAAGGCTGAGTATTATAAAATTTTCATAGTAATATTTAACAAACTGATTTAGAAATAAAAAAAGTGAACATAATAAAATACCATGCTCATTCTAAGACCATTTCTGTATTCTGTGGCACAGTTGAATAGGATAATTTAGTCTCAAGACATAAAAGAAATAGTATTACTCAGAATATGATAGTCTTGTTTTACATGTAAGAAAGTACTTAGGTCTATTAACTACTCTGCGATTAAGTAAACACCATGCTTTCTGTCTTTACAACAGTCAGTCTTCTGAAGATGAGTTAACAATGCCTTGTCTGGGATTATTGGCAAATCTTTGTCGGCACAATCTTTCTGTTCAAACACAAATAAAAACTTTGGTAAGTTGAGGGTTTGAGATATGTCTGTATATGTATATTTTATAGTAAGTTCTATTCCTAAATTCTTCCAAGTTCTTCTCTTTTTCTCTCTTTTTTTTTTTTTTATCATATCCAGTGCTGAGTAGACCTAGGATCTTGCACATGCCATTTGGGTACCTTTACCAAAAAAAGAAAATTTTCTCCTAGATTCTGTATATGTCAAATAGTCTTTTAATCTCTGCTTATCTGTGTTGTAAACTTTCCCTTTAAAAAGTAGCAATACTTTGGGGAGCCCCTTTTGAGGGCCTTACCCTGCCTGGGGAGTGGAGGGGGGATGGCTAGGGGCAGGTGGGATGTTGTGGGGGAGGGGGGGGAGAGGGAGAAGGGATTGACATGTGAAGCAAGCTTGTTCTTAATTTGAACTAATAAAAGAATAAAAAAAAAAAAAGAAATTACCATGTGTTGAAAAGTTCATAATAATGTTTAATAAGCTTGTCCTTATGTGGAGTTATATTTTTCAGACAAAATGTAGAGTTTTCTTTTTTTTTTTTTCTAATTCATTTTCTTTTCTCCTTCAGAGTAATGTTAAATCCTTTTATCGAACTCTTATAAGCTTCCTAGCACACAGCAGCTTGACTGTGGTTGTGTTTGCACTTTCAATATTATCCAGTTTGACACTAAATGAAGAAGTAGGGGAAAAGGTAATTTTTTTTTCAATTTTTTAAATTAACTATGAGTTCATAGTGTTTAACATTTTGCAATCACTAAGATGTCAACCAGTTTCTTGTATATAAAAAACTTTTCCCAATTTTTTCAAAGCTTTTTCATTCTCGAAACATTCATCAGACTTTCCAGCTAATATTTAATATTCTCATAAATGGTGATGGTACCCTAACAAGAAAGTACTCAGTCGACCTGCTAATGGATCTCCTTAAGAATCCAAAAATTGCTGATTATCTTACCAGGTATGTTTATTTATCAGTAAGACATCTCCCCCTTCCCCAATTCTGGGTGTATGAGTGTTGTACCAGCATGTGTGTATGTGTATCACATTTTGCCTGGTGCCTATGAAAACCAAAAGAGGGAGTTGGATCCTGGAACTGGAATTAAAGACATGTGTGAACTGCCAAATGGATGCTGGGAATTAAACCAGGTCCTGTGACAGAGAACTCTTTGTGGTTAAGCCATCTCTCCAGTTCCAAAGCATTTTTATGTTTTGTCTCCAGATGTTTTTTGTCACTTATGTTTTGAAAGTCGGTTGCATTTACTTTCAAAGACTTCATTGCTTTAGACTCTTTGTCTTTACTTTTAGTATTTTCTTGCAGTTTATTTTTATTTTATATATATGGGGTTTTTGCCTGCAAGTACATGAGCCACATGTGTGCCTCTAGAAGAGAACATCAGACCCTCTGAAACTGGAGTCATGGGGGCTTGTGAGCTACCCGGTATGGGTGCTGGGAACTGACACCTGCTCCTTTGGGAAAGTAATACTCATCCTTAACCACTGAGACATCTCTCCAGACCTTGATTTTAGCATCTTAATTTAATTTTTCAATGCATAAGTTGTGTTGAGATCTTAAGAAATTGGTTCAAATAATTAGTGATTCATCTCCAGATAAGAAAATATTTATTGAGCACCTGCATTACCCAAGCAGTTAGAGACAACCGAGTCTCAGCAGCAGCAGGATGTTAAATAATTCCTAATTTTCTGTGAACAAAATAGACCTGAGGACTAGGACAAAATTGACCTTAGGTAGCTGAAGTTCTGCAACACAAGACACATTCACTTTAGCATTTCATCTTTTTCTTAAACATCCGTGATAAGAATGGGTATCAAGTCAGTGTCATAGATAAGGGCATCTTTTCCTTCAGAGTGCCTTTCCTTTACCTGGCGTCTCCATCTTTTGTGAGTGTCACAATACCCATGTTTATCTATTCTGGCGGTCACATAATGCCTACTTAAAACCTTTGGGTAAATTGATGTCTTTTGGATGTACTCTCAGGAGACAGAAAGATGACCATGTGTAGCAGCAGTGAGATTGCTTGATTAACACTCCTTTCAGCCTCTTAGTTGCATTCTCTCCTCCTCCCTTCTGTACAGAATAGGTCCCCAAGAACCTTGTCTAGCTTGTCTTCTTGTTTCACTGCCATACCATTTGTTAAAAACTCAATCTTGAATCTGCTTCAGAGTCTAACAATGTTGGGTTTCTAACCAGATATGAGAAACTCACACAGCTTTACCAGATACAGACCCCTTTTATTTATTGTGTCAGCTTCCTTTCTTGATTCTTAGTGTCTCATTTAAATATGTATTGCTTTCTTTTGCTACCTTTCACACACAAGCTCACTTTATTTCAAAGATAGGAAAAACAAAATGAAGAATCCCATCTGCTTTGAGTTCCCTCTTATTTGCATGCCCAGACAAACTTGTTCCTACACATTTTTTTTTCTTAATTCTATCCTGTTCATAAACATTTTATTTTGGTGTGCTGTAAGCCTCATTCTGTCATCTTTAGCAGATTGTTTTCCATTTCCACTCAGTGCTTCCTATTCTTTGTCACTTCTCTTTACTTATACACGTGTTCAAGCATTTTCTTTTAACCATTATGTCCCTTTGGTAGTGTTCAAGGTAAATACCCAAATCTAAGCCCTGGCCACATAGCAGCTTTATTTCTTGACTCTTGCAATGCTAGACAGTGGCTGTAAGCTGCAGTTGAAAGTCAGCCCCTCAAAACACAATGAGAAGCAACCAGTCAAATACAATGTACTGTGTTGCTATGTTTTGGTAGTCAAGAGATTGAGTTGTAGAAAATACACTTTTCACATGGAATAGTTTAAGGTGAAGATGGATTTATCGTTACAAAACTATGTCATAAATCAAGGAATATCTATATAAATGTAAGAAATTAGGCATGTGAATATTTTTTTATTTGAGAATTTCATACTTGTATGTAATATGTTTTAGTCAAATCTACCGCCTTTCCTTTGCTTACATTCTCCCCCCTTTGTCATTTAATGTATACCTTTAAACCTAGGTATGAACACTTCTCTTCGTGTCTTAATCAAGTACTAGGGCTTCTAAATGCGAAAGACCCCGCTTCTTCTTCAAAGGTATGTAAAAGTGTGACATTTTGTTTTATACTTTTAAAGACTAAAATGTACAGGAAAATCTAAGTTTGCTGCTCTGCAGATTTAGAAACTGCTCACATTCCTGTAAACAATATTGAAATTAGAACGAGAGCATTACAAAATGGAAGCTACTTTTAAGTTTTTCTTTCAGAATGTTTTCTTTAAAATTCTATGGCATTTTTAGTGTCATCATATGCTTTGTCTATTAAAGCCCAATGAAGTTGGTATTTAATGAAGACTTTATATTCCACAGGTTTTAGAATTACTTCTTGCATTCTGTGCAGTGGCTCAGCTGCGCCATGTGCTCAGTCAGATGATGTTTGAACAGTCACCATCGAGCAACAGCATTCTGGGAAGCCGTCCTAAGAGCTTAGAACCTACTGTGGCTCTGCTTCGTTGGTTAAACCAGCCTTTGGATGCATCTGAAAACTGTTCTGTTTTAGCACTGGAGTTGTTCAAGGAAATCTTTGAGGTAATGAAATGATTGACAAATGACCTTTTCTACTTTCATGATGCTTGCTTAACAATTTGTTTTATGACACTTTCATGTAAGCTTCCAATTGTTCACACATAGGATAAAATTAACAATTATAAATCAGAATGTCTATCATTCAACTATTGAGGTATTTTTTTCTGCAAACTCACAAGTATTAGTGTTTTCCATGTTTCCACTGAATGCTTTGTGTGTATTTTCTTTCATATGTACAAACATATAGTGTTTCTTAAACTATATAATTTATTACACAGTATATGATTTCTTGTGTGAATACATGTACTTTGGTTGTTTTCTTCTCTCTCACATTTTTGTCTTCTGCCTTTTATTCTGTAAATTATTGACCTTAGTGAAATGAGACAGCACGCAGACAGATGCAGTGCACTTCGTAGAGTGAAGACCAATAATCTTGGTCTGTAGACTGATTACGCTATTAGGCATTTTAACATGATCTGCTGTTCACCTGCTTTTGTACTCGTTCAGCCTGTCCAGTCTTCTCAATTATTTTTCAGTCTGGTAATTGGATCCTATGCCCAAATATGCATATGAGTGAACAAGTCTGTTCATTAAAATTTATGTTTTTCTTGGTCTTGATTGGTTTTAGCATTTATAAAATGTTTGAAATTATTTGTGGTTTTACACAATTAAAGTCAGTCTCCTATTATTTAATTGCATTTAGCAAATACAGGATTTTATCATTAAATACTAAACATAATAATATTTAAATCGTGGAGTCCTTTACAATGTCTTTTTAATAAAATCTTACAGCTTTATTTGAGGAAAGAAGCCAGGGTAGGTCTGAAAGCTAGCTAAATGGTAAATTGTAAAATGTAGTTTTAAAATGAGAGAATAAATGGAATGTTGAAATAAATGTTAAAAATTTAAAGAATATATTATAGCTTATTAATGACTGGTTTTTGTTATGTTTTCCATTTTTATTTTCAATTATTCTTGATGGTCTATTTTCTAGGATGTCATTGATACTGGTAACTGTTCCTCGACTGATCGTTTTGTGAACCTTCTGCTGCCTACAATCCTTGATCAGCTTCAGTTCACGGAACAAAATCTGGATGAGGTCTTAACAAGAAAAAAATGTGAAAGGATGGTCAAAGCCATTGAAATCTTATTGAATATCCTTTACCACAATATAAATGAAAGTATAAAAACTCCAATTTTTGTCTCTATTTGTAATCTTATAACTTCTCATGTAATGTTAGTAAAATCTTCCTTTAGAAGATGAGGACTTGAGTTCAGTCCCTAGCAACCACAAGAAAATGAAAATGTCAGCAAAGCATGATGGTGTGGGCTGGTAATCTTAGGGCTGGGGAAGCAAAGACAAGCCTGGGGTTTGCTGGCCAGCTGTCTACCTAATGGGTGTCCTACAGTCCTTGAGAAACCTTGCTCAAAGAAGATGGACTGTGTTTCTGAGGATGGTATCCTAGGTTTTCCTTTGGCCTCCATATGCGTGTGCACACATGTGTATGTACACCTGTGCTCAAACATGTGAATATTCATTTACATAGCCAGAAAAACGATACTGAACTGAAAATTTAAAAAGTTTCAAGGGTACCTGAAAAAGTTCTCCAGTTTGTTTTTCTGTGTTTAATTTATGCTTAAGTACTTTTAGAACTCATTAATTTTTTTTTAGATACATCTTTGTGTGAGAATATGTGTGCATACATCCACTGTAGAGGATCAAACCAAGCACCTTACAGGCATTCTACTATTTAACTACATTCCCAACCCAATAAATGTTCTTAAAACATGACCGTTTGTGCCTGGCAATGGTGGCACACGCCTTTAATCCTAGCACTCAGGAGGCAGAGCAGACAGATCTTTGTGAGTTTGAGGCCAGCGTGGTCTACAGAACTAGTTCCGGGACAGCTAGGGCTGGTACACAGACAAACCCTGTCTATAAAAAACAACTACAACATAAACTAGACCATTTTTAAATTAAAGTTTGAGCTTTGAGGTGTTTGCTGAGTTGGCTGCTCATAACTCTCCTGCAATTTTAATGCCTATTATTGCTCCTGTGATTGATGCATCGTTGCATGAGCAAATACTGATATAATTTTCATGATTTTAGCCCCCATCCCGTGTTTGTGATTGTTTAAGCTACTCATGTGTTTCTAACATGTAGCTGAGGTTGAAAATCACTGCAGTAGTGGCATCAGTTGCCTTGTTTAACCTTATTTGGCCCCCTTTTTTCTGATATTCATAGTAATTTATGAATGGTGAGGATTGACTCCCCATAATTCATTCAATGTTTATTGAAACATTTTGATCACTGCCAACAAAATAAGCAAACAAGCAAACCTCCAGTGAAGAAGCATCCTTTCTCTGGTTTTACTTCTATGAGTACACCTCTTACTATTTACTAGTCATCTTAATACATTTAAGTTCCACTTTTCTAAAATGTCTTAAAGCAATTAAAATAATAATTACACTGAATTGCAGTGATGCAATAACTTGTTTGAAATTATTTTGAGTAAGTTACATATAGCTACACACTATATACCAAGTATTTGGATTTCTATATCTTAACCAAACTTAACCTCTGTGTGGAGATGACACTCTGAAAATGCATATTGTAAAAGTATTGACTACTATAAAGTGCACCACATTGATAGAACAACAGTTTATGTATGGCAAGATTGACCTGGGATTTGGAACAAAGGTAGCAGATTCTGAATTGTGGTGAGTATTTCAAATCCAAAATGCATACTGGCTAAAGGCAGTAAAAATTATAAAATATAGTTACCATATTTAAGTATCTTTCTTAATTATGTTCCATTAACTCAAAGGATAGCTGGAAATAGTTTAAATTTTGAATTAGAAATTTGATTTATGGATTGCATACTTCTGAAAGGTTTTGACATCTGTAGTTTATATTTCATTAGGACTTTTTTTTTCTCTACATGCTTGTGAAAGAGATTACAGATTGTGAACATTTCTCTTCTGAAACTTCCTTTTGACATTGCATTGGTAATTTAATTTTTGCTTCATTTAATCTTACATTTTTAAAGAGAAAAGCATGACAAAATAGATGGTTTTATTACCAGAAAGCCAATCCGTGCTGAAAGCATCTTGATAACAAAGACAACTCTTCTCTTCTCCTTTGCACATCAGAGCTTTGGTTAAAGGCAGGTGCTCATGGAGTAATAGGCAGTTATTTATGCCCCCTCCCTCTCATAAGCAAGTTTTCCCGATGAATATTTATTGAAACCTGATAAGTGCCAAACACTGTGGTTTGTTCCCATTTCTGTAAATAACTGTCAGCCATTGTATTCTTGAAGAGCAAGCATTACCTTTTCATTTTTGAAAGTTTTTTGGTATAATTCATTCTCTACATGTTAGGTTTTGTTTTTGTTTTTAATTTTAGAAACAGTTACTAAGAATGAAATGAGCCATGTTCTAATACTTAATTCCGCAGAAATTTGAACCATGTTGGTATTTAAGAGTAGATAATAGTCTGAAACTTATATTCAATACTAGTTTGTTCTTTCTGGAGCTTAAGTACTAAAAATACTAATTTTAAAAAATATCTTAATTCTTAGAAGTAATACTTTATCTTCTTGAGTTTTAAAAACAAATTTGTTACATTTTTCATTTTAAAATGGTAGACAAAAATACAATAATTTTTTAGTTATCTAATTTAAATGGGACTTTTATTTTTAAAGCAAGCTTGCTGCTGATGTAATTTTGAAGACTCTTAATTTGATGAACAAACTAAAACAATTGGTTCCTGGTATGGAAGTAAGCTTCTACAAAATCCTTCAGGTAACTACCAACTTCTCACATATTTTATTATCATGTGATTCCTTTTTGCATGTGTGTACATATGATGTATATTTACATAGTCTTGTGGTATGTTTATGTATGTGCATGCATGTAGAAGGTCAGTGTTTTGTGTCTTCTTCAATTGCTTGTGATCTATTTTTGTCTTTGAGTCAGAGTCTGGCTGTCCTGGAGCTCACCACTTCAGCTAGGCTGGCTGATTGATGCGCTCTAGAGTCAGCCTTCTCTGTCCTGTCTCTCTCCTTCCCGCTCCTAGGGATAAAGCTACAGATGTGTCCCCATGCCCTGCATTCTAGGTGGCTACTGAGGACTAAACTCAGGTCCTTGTATCTGAACATCATTTCCAGCTCCTCTACCTTGGTTTGTAATAATTCTTCCTTTGTTTCTTTCTTGATTTCTTGTCTGTGTTTTCAGAAGACAGCCTATCACCATATAGGCCAGTTTGATTTTGAACTCACCTTTCTCCTGCCTTGACTACCTAAGTGCTAGGATTACAAGTCCATGCACTATTCCTATCTTAAGTATTTCTGCTTTAATATTCTAGATGCTTAAAGGATATTTTTCTTAAAATTGGCCATGAGAAAAAAGTTGACAGTTCTATCTTTTGTAATTAGAATAGTCTCATTATATATCTTAGAAACTAAACTTGACTTCCCAGCATTTCCTTTCATTGTTTTGTACTTGCAGCTTTCTTGATTTAGGTTGACATTGAGAAAACTGTGTGTGTGTTTCTGTGTGTGTGTGTGTGTGTGTGTGTGTGTGCGTGCGCGTGCGCGCGCACACGCACCTAAGGGAAACAGGTGTAATGGCCTAAGGATACTTTGAGTGTAATTTCCTGAGGTCCTGTCCATCCTTTTTTAAAAACATGGGATCTCTTCATGGTCTGGAGCTCACAAAGTAAAGTAGGCTACTGACTAATGAGCTTCAGGAATCTGTTCTTCTGCCTCCCCATAGGGAGTTTATAATCGAATACCCAGCACTTTGTTGTGGCTTCTCTGTATTAAACCAGATTTACTAACTGGGCCATCTTCCTTAGATGAGCTTTTAACTTTGATCAGAGTTGGTGGCATAAAATAGTAAGGGGTTAGAAGAACATATGAAAGAAAGGGACTGATAAGACTAGTGAGGATATGCTAAAAATAGCTAGCTTACAAATTTCCCTGAGAGTAGCTGAAAAGTTCTAGATGTTATCAGAAAGCAAAATTACAATAGACTTAGTTTAAAGATTTAGTTGTGTTTTACTTCCTACTTCCCCCTCTCCTATCACAAACCCGGACTTAAAACATATCATGTAAGTACTCCATTACAGGTTATACTACCAGTCCTCACTTGCTCTTCAAGAATTAGGGAACATCTAATTTTGTGAAATTCATGAGTATACTTAGCTGAGCTGGAAGAAGTATTTTTTTTAGGGGGGGGGGGCGGTTTAAAACAGGGTTTCTCTGTGGCTTTGGAGGCTGTCCTGGAACTAGTTCTTGTAGACCAGGCTCGTCTCGAACTCACAGAGATCCACCTGCTTCTGCCTCCCGAGTACTGGGATTAAAGGTGTGCACCACCACCACCACCCAGCCAGAAAGTGGGTTTTATAGGTAGAAAAAAGTTCATCAAAAGAAGAATTTTTTTTTAAATTTTTTTTTATTAGCTTGTTTCACATGTCAATCCCTTCTCCTTCTCCTTCCTATCCCCCCACCCCTTTCCCCCCCTCCCGGCCTACCCCCCCACCCCATCCACTCTCCATTCCCCAGGGAGGGTAGGGCCCTCTACGGGGCTCCCCAAAGTCTACCACATCAT